TCGAACCGTGGCAGTCGAGCTTGTGAGCTTGACACGTTAACCACTAGGCCGCATTTCTACGAGTGGCCTTAGGTCATTGGGCAAATGTGAATTTCAAGGAAGGCCACGACCTTTTCCATATCACATTCTTTTGTTTGATTTTCGATGAAGCAAACGTATTTTTGCTATAACGATTGACTACATTACTGGTGATCTCGAAAATCTACTTATATACAAAAAGTAAGTTTAACATTTGTCTTCAGGAAAAATTAGTGGAAGAACAGCGCAGTTTAAAGGAAATTATTTAACCCAATTCTTACAGAAGTAGGTTGACCTCGTTGTCGCAACTTGGTCTTGTTGTCATGGTGACTATGTAGAACGCACCTAGTCCGAACTGGTCTGCCATAAAGGTTGTCATGATTCCCAGCATCAGACAGTTGACGTGGTACATTATCAAACCTTTCGACGGCATCTTAGTCGGCATCATCTCCGCACCAAGCTACGAATTAGTCAGTGACAAGTGAAGTCAATCCCTCGACAAACGTTCCGCCGAAAATGGTTACACTATCACTCCTCTTTCTGTCCTGGCCTATCTATCTACTGTCTACCATCTTATCCCACTGCCACCCTATCACAACTTCTCACTTGTTTACATTCCACTCGTCAAAAATGTGTGCCCCTTTGTGGCAAATCTAGTGTGACCTCATCACACTTGCTATTCTCCCCAACCTCTTTTTTTCGATGAGCTGATCCGACTCGGGCCTCCAATCCGGATCCCCTCATTGTCTCGTAGATCCATTCCTTCTCTTTCTGGTTGACCGATTTCACTCAATTCCAGTCCCAGTGTGCATTTCACTCCAGGCTCTATTTCTCAAAGCCCTAGAAGCACATACACTGCCGCTTCACTGAGCAGAGGGCCTAAGCTCTGATTGCCATGCTTGCAGATATCAGGCCTTCCCTACACGGTTCGTCTCCTTTATTAAACCCATGTTATCTGAGCAAACTGTGAACGCCTATCTCTGGTCGCATGCGGCATCTTATGTGAATTTCTAGAGCATTTTGGTTAGAACCCCTAATTTCTATGATGGTATGCTTATCCGTCTGCCCAGCTCCCTGACTGCCAGGCCCCCAAACTTGTACTTGTTTATTCGAAATGGACATCACGCACTGACAACGTCTTCACTGTATTGCCGAAAACCTCTCCCCCACTTTTGTCATCGCAATCCCTTTTCTTCCGGTCAGCGGAAGATCCTTGGTTCAGGCAGTTGCTTAGGCAGTGGACAAAGTTATCGCTAACTCTACCTTTCTCCAATCTCCTGTTCATTATATTTGTCTTCCCAAGGATGTCAATAGCCTCCCTAATATATTATATTATATAATACAATATATACAATAATATCCTGGAATCACAACGGATCGGTAGGGAGCCCGTAACAAGACAAATCAACTTTACAATAAGGACCACCTATTTTACATTCAACGGGAACATCTATGAACAAATATTTGGACTTCCCATGGGATCACCGCTCTCACCACTTTCGGCAAATGTATACATGAACAAAATAGAAGAGAGCTTTAAGATGACACCGCTACAATCGGCAGTGCTCATGCGGTACTTGGATGATTGTTTCGCACTTTGGTCACATGGAAGAGAAAAACTGGAAAAGTTTCTGAAGTTTGCAAACCAGATTGACGAAAAATTCAATTCACGATGGAAGTAGAGGAAGGTGAGCGGTTATCGTTCCTGGACGTTGAAGTGATTCGCTATAATGGGACGCTCAAAAAGAAATTGTCTCATCACAATTACAGACTGAAGATTGGAATAATGAGGAGCATTATCATCCGAAGCCTACGATTAACGGACGTAGAATTCTGGGACGAGGAGCTGGACAAATTGAGGGAGGATATTCCTCGGCAATGGCTACTCAATCGAAGTGATAAAAAGAAACATACGGGCCGTGAAAAGCCGATGGCAGAACGGGGACTATGAAAGAAAAGTAAGGACGATGAAAGATTCACAAAAGTGGATATGCCTACCTTCCTGCGAACGAACTCATAAACTACGGCCAATATTGAGTAAATGAAATATTTTGATGGGCATGAAGGAGAAATCAACATTTTTCACAAGCCTACCAACGCAACATGAAAGGGTAGATAAATTGGATTGTTCAGCGGTTTACTGTATATCATACGGCGCCTGCGCACAGAAATATATTGGCGAAAATG